TTATATATATACAATGTATTTGTAAATGTTACTTCCTCAACATTCTTTTGTGACTACCAAATTCTTACACTGCTGTGCAAGGTTTGTTTAATGTGTGTTTGGTTTGCAGTTTGTGCATATACACAAACAAATATAAAGGATCATACAGAATGAATGGTCAAATTAACAGCCATTTTCAGACATTTTTGAGCTCTCAAAACTTAATCTCTGCAACTGAATATAAAAAATACTATTCTTTAGTCTTCCACAAAAAAAAACAACATTCAAACCTATGCAGCTGGATGCACTTCATGTGAAAAACTGGTGGTTACAGGGATAAGAAAATCTACTTCAAGAATTCTGTATAATAATATATATATATAAAAATGTTATACATATCAGTGTGTTTAAAGGTTTATGTCAGTGTCATCTTGTTTACTACAAGCCAGCTATTTATTGGCAACTTAAGTCATAAGGGTTTAGCTAATCTTAAAAGTTTATATCTGTAGAAGAATTTTAACCTGAAACAATATGAATGTTGTTTTATAAATAGCACAAAAAATCAGTAGAAGGTCCTCAGTAACTGCTGAAATATTATGTTAAAGCATAAACAAGTACATTTTACTTACATACGTGTTTTATATAAATTATGTGATGCTTATGAGAATATTCATAAAAAACAATCACTTGAAATTATAAACACTCAAAGATCTTAGAAACATGGTTAAAATATTTACAAAAACCTTTACATGCCAGATTTACATATCCATCCTAAAAAACTCTGGATGAATAAACTGTTCTTAGTTACCAGATTTCTTTTCAGATTACTGATGTAAATGTAAAACAAATCAAAATAAAGAAAAAAAAATCCTTTTAAACTCTTTTTTTAATTGTAATATTTTGAATGACACAAAAGAAATAATTTTAAAAAATTTACTGTTTCAAAAATTTTGTAGCACAGCTGTGGGTAGGTACCAGTAATTTTAGTTATGTTCCCCAGTTTCTAATAATACTGGTGACCGATTACTTTCACCTTTATATAGATGATTCATCAGTATACACACAGACAACAAAAATAGCTAGTGACACATTATAAAAAAAGTAAATGAAAATAAAAATTTTAACTTATATAACTGCTCAACACAAAATATACACACACAACTTAAGTATGTCATAACTAAGAAATATCCTGATCTTGCTTTTAGGGCACTGGTATTTTTTTACGTCTAATTTGGAATCTAACATATGTTTTAACACCATGTAGGAAATATAATATGTTCAAGCACTGCTTTTACTTCAAAATACTATAAATAATCATCCTACTTAACCCTTTCACTGTGGATTGGATGTATATTTCCTTGGAAACGTACATTTCAGCTTAAGTGAATAGGTTAAATGGCAGTCAAGGATACAGTTTGTTTGCTGTTAAACACAAAGCTACAAGATGGGCTCTTTGTGCTATGCCCACCACAAGTACCAAAACCTGATTTTTAGCATTATAAGTCCAGAGACTTGCCACTAAGCCATTAAGGGACCAAGAATACACAATCCAAATTTCAAATACTTGATTTTAAAAACAACCTATTATTGTGTTGATTCAGTTTTTATAATTTTTCAAGTACATGCAGTTGTTTGCGTTATATAAAACAGTTTTAAAAATATTAACAATAAAAATAAAGCAATTTCAACTTTTGGAAATCACAAAAACAATTTAGTGTTTCAACTATGGACTTGTCATATTGTGTTTATTTAAAATAAAGAGCACAAAATAAAGCAAAACACAACAGTAAATTCAAACAGAATCTGAAACCATTTTTTTTCTTTTTACATTCTTAAAACATAACCAGATATGTCACTGGTAGACAACATACAAAAATAAAAAGACAAAACAATCACAGAGAAACACAAGAACATACAAGCTACTAAAATATCAATTATTATAATGTCAGTACATCTTTATTAAACACGTTGCTAGTTTATCAAATTTTTCTTTCAATATTTCCTTGAAAAAACACCAAAACAACAATGCAAAAAACTAGCTACATACCTTAAGAAACACTGCTGGTGGCAGGCAGTACTGTAGGTCACCAATACAATAAATGGATGAATACAAATATTACAGATCAAGAAATATACATCCTAAGCAGAAATTAGTAGAAGTACAAATATTCAGTGGGATTATGAACTGAATGAATGATTGCTTGAAATTATTAATCACAGGCATTACACAGAAAATGTGCTAAATCATTTGTAGACTTATGATATAATGTTTCTGTTATTACTCAGCATTTCTTAGTTTCTTTACAATATTTTAATTCCTAATATTTTATGTACTTTGATAAGATTTTGTTAATTTAATATCTACTCATAAGACTTTACAAAAGGTACATTTACCAGTTACACCTGGTGAAATGATAAGTTATACTTCTTTTTTTAAGTCTTACTACATATTTCATCTAATGTAATGAAATTTCATTATTTCCTGTCACCAACAATGTTTTACATTTTATTGATACACTGTCAATACAATCAAACTTCTGTTATTTTGTTGTTGTTGTTTTTAACAATTCACTATTTCTCAGTATTACTATAAGTTACATGGTTATGACTGATGGTCAGGTATAATAATCTAAGATCTGGCTGAACAGCTACACATATTTAACTTAGTTTAGAACTGAAGCTTTTATTACACATTTTCACTAACAAAAAAGTTTAATTCCCCCCATTACTGAATCAAGGTACAAAACTGAACTGGTTTTACCAGAAGTAGAAATGTATTACTTAGCAAAGGCTTACATGACTTCTGTCAAAGAAATTAGTCCAGTGTTTGGAGGAAAGTCATAATCTAACAGTTTCAACTTTGTCATCATGACAAGCTGCTCAGAATGAATCAATTTTTGTTTTAGAAAACATGCATGACTTTAAAAAACAAAATGCTTTATATACTGACTATATACCTGCTTTGCTGTGTCATGCTTGAACTTTCCAAGCTACACTCATTGAATGTAACGGGCAGAGTTCATCTATAAACAGATATCTTTCTTTTAACCATAGCTACTTATTTCCAACTACTGAGAGTGAAACAGAAATAGCAGTTTCTGTATAACCAGTATTTCAGTCTGAATATTAACTGTTGACAATCTACTGCAAATTTCAAATATAAACTTTACTTAACAACCAAATAGTCCTTAAAGCTTTTCTGAGATAAAAGAGAGCATAAGAAGTCATAATTCTTGCACAGAGCTTAATTTAATAAGGCTAACATTATGCATCAAAATGGTATAAACATAACTTCATTCAACAATGTGCCAGGCCCAAATAAGGTTGCCAGTACTATAGATGTACATGTCTAAAACAAAATATTACTTTACATATTTTTCATAAGTACAAAAAGATTACTTGCAATATATTTATATTAATGTTGTTTCATTTACTACTAAAATATGCTGACTGCAAAAAACACAATATAAAGTGAAATCCCAGCATCTCTTCACTATTTGTGTGCTACATAGATAATAACCAAGTGAGCAGCATTTAAAATATCAAAATGTTTTCTAGCATAGTATCTTTCATGCCAAAAAGAAAAATGGTGTATATATTAGCAATAAATTATAGCTACTTACTGGAAGTTTTTACATAACTTTCAGACACAAAGACACACACCCTGTTGAACTTCTGAACAAAACTAACCAATAATTGGGCATTTATGTAATACTGTGTTTATTATGTCAGTTTTTTTTTACTTACAGTGTATATTTAGATTTTATGCAGAGCAAATAATCAAATAATGAATAACCTCAATTTTTGAATTTGAGAATTGTGTGTCAGCATCATAGACTTTTAATCAGTAAACAGGACCTATTGCTTTGGGGTTAATTAAAAAAACACAAAATTTTAAGGCCACCAAAAATAACAATAAAACATTTGGAGGATCTACTATTTTATAAAAGGTGGTATATGGTTTGAACAGAATTTTTTTAAATGTCCAGAAACAATGAAAATGTCAGTAAAATTACATCAAAAGAAAATTGTAAGCTCCAGCTCTAATGCCAATGCAACATCAAACATTTTGCATATTTCTGATCTTAAGGTTTCTGCCTACAAGTAAGTAACCAAACCCTGTCTTTTAAGATAAGATAAAAATTATTTTATAAAAACAAGTATCATAGAAAACTGTGTAATTTTTACAAATGTTTCACTTGTATCTTTCAATGATATAATGATTGGCTGACTGAAATGTGACAGTAATAGATGATAAAAATTACTCATCATAAACAGTGACCCATTCTTGAAACATGCATCAGAATTTGGGATTTGTAAGGAAAGGTTGTGGAATGGAACCTGGTTATGCCGTAAAGCCCGCAATATATCTTCATGATAAAAACCACAGTTTTTGGCTTTTCTTTGCATATAGATGCTTGATACATTAAGAATGACTGAAATAATAATTTGACTAATAATTAATATGTATTTGTTACTTAAAAGATTTGATAGATATTTGTCGTTACTTTATTAACGTTTTTACGCTTATACTGTGAGATATAAACAGCTACTGCTATGATTTTGTCTGGTTTATGAGCTCATTGCTGTCCTCATTTAGGATCTTCTTTTTAATATATTCTTGAAAATGTTACAAAAGAAAGAAAGGGGGCCTGGCGCGGATGTTTCCCCCAGAGCCCTTGCTAGCTCTCGACGTTCCTGTATATATTCTAGTTAAAAAAGAAAAAAAGAAGAATGTTGACAGGTGGTTCTCCAACTTATTTAAATATTTTATATCAAACTGAATATAAACAATCAATATGAATAAAATCTGCCATGATTGCTGTGTTTTATAGTGATAAGGATGTGAACATTTCATCACAAGGTCAATAATATATGAAATACTAGAAGACAAGACTTAATTTACTAAAAAAAACAAAATTTTACATATGAAAGAAAATAATTTTGCAAGATGGCTATCCATACATCCACTTACAAAGAATTTAACACAATAAAATGGAAAGGCACCACACAGACACACACACACACATACATATATACATATGTATGTATCTATAAAGCATTCATTGGCAAAAATATGAAGTCAACAATGCAAAAAAAACTTAAGCCTTATAAAACACACTGAAAGGTTAAAAAAACATATTAATAGATTCAAGTGCCATATAGAGAGCAACCAATAATATGATGCAACTCAAACTGGCCAGAATGCTGCAACAAATTACTTCACACAAGGATATTACCAAACTGAGCAAAGTGACCTGTGAAGTTCCATAGGAAAGGATAAAATAACTTTTATGAAGATATAACGCTTTGGCAAGTGCAACTGATGGAGTACAGATCTGATAAAATTTTGCTTCATATCAAAACACCTTGGGAAAGGATATGTGCAAATACATATGCAAGGTAGCCATCTTGTTTGAAAAAAAAAAAACTTATAAAAAAATTACACAGCTACTTTCCATATTATAACGAGTTGAAATCAGATATTTGTTTTTTTTAGTGTAAACTGAACATCAACTAGTGGGATGAAATTTTAGAATTAGCCTAGATGCAAGAAAATTTAGTTCCAAGGCAAAAAAACAAATAATGTGAAATATCATAAAACATCTCGGAAGAAATGGACTGAATAGTGATTCTACAAGTAAATCCATAGAAGCAAGAAAGTACCAAAAACAAACTACTGAGATTAGAAACACATAGAAACATATAACTGAACAAGAACACGGGAAGAAAGTGTAGAAGTTTCCTGTAAAAGTTTTTTAAAGATGAAAAAGTCCACTAACAACAGCCAAGTAAAGAAAATATTTTAAGAGGGCCAACTCAACTTACCAAGAGGCTGATGCATCAAAAGAATGGAAAACTACTTCTACTCTTAAAACATTAGGAAAAGAATGAAAACAACCCAATGGAAAATGAGGTTCATCACGAAACATGTATTAAGATAGGGATGAAAATGTTTAAAACCTTAGGTGTAAGATTAAATACCTTTTGACACTAGAAATTCACATCTTGATCATAAGAAGTGGACATAACTTCCAAAATATTTAAAACAAAAAAGGGGCTAAGCAAAAGGTTCTAAAACAGCAGAGATAGAGAATGGAACATTATCATCCTCCACATGTCAGATTTTGAATTCATGTGAAGTGACAAAGAGAAGGAAGCAAGGATTTTTTTTTTTTTCAAATGAGCACAAATTACTCACAGATAGCAACTTCAGCAGAACCTCGACATTAAGGGCAACCTTACAACTGCATCTAAATGCCATCCATAGCAAGGTGTCCTTAATATCAAAAATGAGCCATGCAAAGCTGGATTCAATACTGACTGTACTAAGTTTATGAATCTTAAGGTCCACCATTTTGTTTGGTGTATACAGGACACAGGTGTTCATGAGTTCACATTGCCATGACATGGAGCATTGTCAAAGGGGGTGGATTAGATGTGCCCTTTTTTCTTTATTATTGGTCACAAAGTTTCCAAGTACTTCTCTACAGTTTGAACTGCTAAACATTTCACATTTATTTTATTGTCAATGACTGAAGTAGAACTGTTTACGTGCCACCGCAATACAATACTCTCGAGACAGAAAAAGTACGCACACACAATTTATCAGCTTATTGTATCCTACAGTGTTTACAGGGGAGAATTCCACAGAGTAATAAGTGTGCACTTTGAATCTGTGAAAACGTTTATTATAGTAATGGTTCAGAGCTGATCCAATAAACATTGCAAGTGTTTGAATATTGGTCATCCTTCTGGAATGTTTGGAATTTAGCAGTATACCATATAGGCAACGAGACTAAAGACACTGCCTTAATCCCGAATATCAAGGTGCCCATTACTGCAAGATTTATTTTGGTTACAAACAGTATGAAAGAGACCGAAAAGGTTTGCACTTAATGATGCGGTACCCATTGTTTTGAGGTGCCCATTAATTGAGGTTCTACTATCTAAAAAGGTAATAAAAAGATAACAGAACGCTTAACTTGAATAAACACCATATGTGCATAATAGGTTATAGACAATCAATAGTAAAGCATATATGGTATTATTATTATATAAGACGATGAACTGAAAACGTTTTAAAACAGTAATGGAACAAAGTTTACACAAAGGTAAACTGAACATACCAAAGTAACAATGAATAGAAAAATGTGCTGTATGACAAATAATCTACAGGGCATTTATGTTTGTATAATAGTACTTTGCATTTCAGGAGAGAAATCTCAAAACCTATGAATCACTGAATGAGGAAGAACCTTTCAAATGTTTCTTAAGATCACATCACAAAATTATGAAAAGAGCCCTCAATGAACAAGCAACCTAAGAATTTGGCTTTCTGTTTATCCAGGGGTCACTTATTGCTTAAACTATACTTTTGCTAAGATCACTGCACTTATGACAATTAAACCACAAAAAAATATTAATAGGTTAGTTTTTTTATGTAGGGTTAACATGGGCATATAATACTGCTATCTAATACAGTTTATCCTTTTCTTTTCAAAACCTTATGAAGCTGAGCTTACAGCTTAATACATACTATTATAGTTTGAAACTTCACCTTTGCCATCTGGGCTTGTACTCCTTGTGTCTGAAGAGCTTTAACAGCATTTTCTGCTTCCAGTGGAGATTCAAAATCCACAAATCCATAGCCTAAAAATCAAATAATATAACATTATTTAATCTGGGATAAAATTTTCCAACTTACATAACTTGAAGTCAGCATAGTTAGCTAAAATAATATATAAAAACAAAAGAATGATGTTATATATTATAGAAACCACAACTAACAAATTAAAACATTATTACCTCACTCAATGGTTATAAAGTTATTTATTTTGTTGCAATAAAATAACAAAAAAGCATTACCACACTCAAACATCCGTTAGAACACACATACACACAGAACTATATAAATGACACCAAGTGAATCCACACTTTAAAATAGCAATGTTATTTCAACCTAGAATTGTAAATGAATGTTGGCAGAATACAATACATTCCAAGTAAACTGCCCATGTCTGAACTCAATGTTCACTATGATACAAACTAGTGGTAATCAGAGACTTCAAAAACCAAGGGCTAGCTGCAATTATTAATATTAAATGATAACATGTAGAGCCTGCAGATGTGCAATGTTATTTTTACTTATTAATGACTAATTTCTTTATTCAATTATAGCAAACGTATATGTTAAGTCCTTTATATAAATGCTGAATAAAGAAAGTATGGGTGGGAGAGAGAATTGTTTTCTTGTAGATTGTTACAGCCAGAGAAGTGATTGACTGAAAGGGTCTAATTTTCATCAATTCTCAAACAATGTTTTATGTTAAAGTCTGGATAAAAGCTAAGTTGTACAGAAAAAAACAAGTTTATTCCAACAGCTAATACAAAAATTTGTAAAAAGCATTTTGTTATGGGTAAGAAACCAAGAATAAGAATGACACAGATTACATTCCTATCGTAAATATTCTCTCACTCATTATAGATAAGGTAATAACTGCTCAAAAAATGGCCATCCTGAAGCAGTGTATAAAGGAATGTAGAAAAAGAAGAAATGGTTGAATAAAAGTGTATAGACTGCATTGGTGATGTTCATTTGGAGTAGTTGCTTGAGTCATGAACATTTTGAAACTGTATTTTATGATAAAGATTTAAATGTACTACTAGTAGAAAGTAAACCAGAGCTTAAGACAGATTATGTATATCACAAGCATTCGTGTGATAATAACTCAAAAGAATATGTATTGTGGCATGAAAAATTAAAGTAAAAATGCAAAGGTGTTATTCCAAAAATCACCAGATGTAACTGTGGCATAAACCTAATTTGATAGGAATCTGAAAGAGAAACAAACTAAATTTTTTTTTTCAGGATATAATCTCCAGAATCTAATGTCAAAGCTGAAACTGAGAAAAAATTAATACATATCTTATGTCCAAAGCCCTGTGTTTAACTAAGGAAAATTATCAGCTACATCAGAACATGTTTTGAAGACTGAAAAAACAAAAAGTTCAGTTTTACATACAACTGCTAAATGTTTGTATGCCTTAAGACTCTTGTATGCTTGCACAAATTATTTGTTGAACATTTTATTTGTTTTCTTCAGGTAAGACTTGAGTTTTCCAACATCAACATTTGGCACATCTTGTAAATTCTTTTCCGAATTACATAAGAACTGAATAAACCAGTGATTTTGTCATAATATTTGCTTGTATACAATTCAAATTACCCCAAACTTGAAAAAATCATCCAGTTGATAATAGCATTTCAATATAAACTGTTAAGCTTTGGTTCACAGTCTTGTGAAATCTTAGCCCTTCTGAAGCAATATAACTAGTGGAGCAGCTTAACAGCTTGGATTCTTGCCAGTAGTATTTTCTTTGCAAAGTATACTATTTTCAAACTGGCTTTGGTAAAATAAATTTTGTATTTACAATGACTTGACATTTTCATGAAAACAGGTATGGAATTCTAAGGATTACAAAACTACATGAAATGTCTTCATATTTTATTCTAAGATGAGTTAATACCTACCTTACAAGAATACAGACATGACCCAGGCAAAGATGTCTTACAATTATTATGCAACTAACCTGAATCTAGATCCAAGTGAGGCATTAAACATGATCACTATCAAGTGCTTTCTATTTTTCATGAGCCATAGTAAAAAATGAATTCATGACAAATGATATTTTAAATAAGGTCAAATAATTAAAATAAACATAGTATCATATTCAAACTCCAATACTAAAACTGCTCAACCCTCGAATCACCAAGTTATTTACATACCATTCAATTACCAGTGGGGTCCATATATTTTATCATGTTGAGTAATTTTATGTTCTTGTTGTTACAACATTCATGTGAAGAACTGACCAAAAGAGTGGGTGAAATCACCCATTTTCTATGTGAAATACTTAGGAAACCCCAAAAGTAATTAACTGGATTAACTGCATTACTGACAGTATTTTTTTTTTATTTTTTCATGAGACTCTGTAATCAACAGATCTTGAAATGACAAGCTATTTGGAATTTACCAATAATTTTAGGGTTAAAGTGTGTTTATGATAAAAATGCATCTAAAAACATTTTACATTTCAAAGAATTCACTGATATATCATTTAAATACAAATAAAAACATGAAATAAGTTACTTTATTTATTTTTGGTCTTTGGAATCTTGACTCAGTGAATACTATTACATTATACACAGTGTAATAAACTTAAAATGCGATCCTTTGTGCTAACTCTTTTGTCAAGAACATTATACATAGCATACTTTAAAGTAAAAAATTGTTTAAGCTATAGAGTGACATTCTTTTGCATGTTTGCTTGTTAAATGAAAACTGGGTTCTAAAAATATAACCTAGAAATACATACAGTTTACCTACTAACCTTTACATTGATTTGTAGTTTTGTCCAATATTGCTTTTGTTGATATGATTGTTCCATAACTGTGTAAAAAAAAAGATAAAAAACAGAACATAAATACAGCACAATAATAAAATTATTGTAAAAAAAATTATGCAAAAGAGTAAACCAATTTTCATTGTATTTAACCTTTATAAGAAGGGTTAGTTGTATTTATGTTTGAACTACTGATTAGAATAAAGGCAGCATATCAGCAGTACCCTACTATCATACTAAAGTACCGACTCTAACTCTTACAATGCACCACAACTTAAAGTGTGAGGAATATTTTGTGGCACTGCACAGATTGGAATCAGGTTTTCAGCTCCAAAACCCAGAACTCTACCACAGAGCCAATCCACACCTTCATAAGAAATGATAAAACTAATTTCTCAACTTTCCTATCTCAACCTCACTCTATCTACTCCAAAGTCTTGAACCTTTAAGAAGCCATTGGTTATACTCTCTAGACTGGTAAACTGCTGCTACTAGTTAGTTTGTTTTAAAATCAGTAGCTTTGGTTCATATACTGGTGCTGCTATTTTAACATAAACAAAATAGATTGACTGCAGACAAGAAATAAAAGTTTTTTTTTATTTACAGGTGAAGAGTACATTTCATGTGGAAATTTCAGAACAAGGATATTCCATATTCAGTATAATAAAACAAAAAGAACTATGGTCAACAATTGAATCAGAAATATTAAAAAGTTCAAGAAAAAATAAGATATATAGTGAGATACTTGTATGTGTGGGATACAACATAATATGTTAAGAAAAACTTTGTTCACATGAGCTTGCTGTATTCACTTAATTCCTGTTTCACAGCCTTCATTCTGCTTACTGCAAAAAGAAGTTTATCAGTTGTACACTTTCTTTGGTAGTTTCAAGCTTTTGAACTATAAGCATAATTTCATCTTTTGTCTGTTAAGCCAAGCTTTAAAATTTTGTTTAGACTATCAGTCTTTTCATGATGAACTCAACTCCTTCTAAATATACTAAAAACACAAAGCTTTCATTCTAATTTAGTAACCAACACAATCATTTTCTCAACAGGAAATACAAACAATGCTAAAAAATCAACAGCATTTCAGGTTGCTCTATTATACTCCCTCTTCATTAATAAACAACAACTCAAATATTAAAATATGTTCAATTATACTATCCTCAACACAAACTTAGAACCATTTCAAGTTGTCTTTTCATTCAAGAGATATTTTGGCTTTTGAAGACCAAATATAAAAACAACATTAAAATCCTGACAACTGGCCATTTTGAAAGTAGAGCTATTAATTACAGAAACACTCGAAAATATCTAAATAACACAGCAAACTCATTTCAACTAAATTTTTCTTAACATTTGCTGTATCCCACACATACATATATATATATATATATATACATGTTATTTTCCTTATACTTTTAACATTTCTGATTCAGTTGTTTTTATGGTTCTCTTCATTTCAATTTCAATTTTTGTTTTATATTAAACATAAAATACACTCTTCAACTGTACATAGCATGTTTTTAGTCTTATATGTTATAATTCTATTTTTGATGAAATTAATATGTTAAATCTGTAGCCTTGGCCTGGTATAGCTATGTTGCTATTTTGACATATTTTGTTTTTACAATAATTAACTGAGAAAACTATAAAGTTCCAGGGCTAATAGCAATAGCTGTTTACCTTAAGACTAAATTTTACAATAAATAAGACGTTGAATACAATAAACTTTGATATTTTGTAGTATACAGAATTTTTCATTATGAGAAAATTTGCCTTGAGGTACTATATAAACTATCTTAAGCAGAATAATATTATGATGCCAGAGGAGGCTGTTGAACATATGTAAAAGTAGACACTTCTTTTAATTAGGACTATTCAGAAACAGATACACATTTTCTTAAACAGATTATTTTTCACAATGATAGAATGCAATACACGAAAAACAGATTAAAATATAATATTGTTGACACAAGTTACAACAGTGAAAACAAGGTAAAGCATGCATGATTTACAACGTTTTTTGAAAGTGTGCCGATATTCTAAATTATCCAATATCTGAAGCTTGACTAGATACATGAAAACATTTCATATAAAATCATAGCATACACAATAAACACCATTGAGCAATTTATTAAATCTAATAATTTACATACCTAACCTCCCACACAAGCTATGGTAAACCCAATGTTCACATGATTTATAGCAATACTGACAAAGTATTCTGTCATATGCATAATGGTTCTCTAAATATTTGATGATTCCAGCAGTATAGTTTGTTAATTCTGAATACACTGAAACTTGTAATCACCAAAAAGCTTGTGATAAGTTTTTATTTTTAAGCTTCAATGGCTGCGTAGTTTAGCTCATAGAGAAATCAAATTTCCATGTACATCATTGTTGAGATATTAATGGGTTAATACATTACTAACTTCAAGTAATTATTCTAACATGTCCAACAATTTTAGAATTTTGTTAATAACTTGAAATTTATAAATATGAATGAATATTGTACACTCAGGTGATGATATATTCATTTGCTGCTAACAAAGATTATTTCTAATACAACAAAAGTTGCAAATATTTAGTAAAACTTCAAAATCATTTTTAAAGACAGAGCTTAAACGTAGGATTTTTTTATCTGAACGTTGAACCCATATAAGGAACACATTTATATAATTTGGAATTTTCAACTACAATTATACATTTTCTAAATTTTCATTTACAAAACCAAGGCTGTTACTTTCGTTTTCACCTTGACCCATATTCATTAAGATATAAATGCTCGGATGCCAGATTTACAAAAGAAAAGTTTTGTTTTTTATAAATTCTACACTGAAGACAAGGTAAACTAGTTAACAGGTACTGGCTTGATATTCAACCTTTCCTTGACATTTGGTACAAATTCAATAGCTTTTTGTAAAATTCTTTCAGAGGGACAGTCTAACAGACCATGGCATTCCCCCCCCCCTTCATTCTCTAAAACAATTTAATCTTTGTGCGATCAAATTCATTGGCATATATACAAGACTTTTGTCAGTAAACTCTGACTGATAACCTCATATGTATTAAATTGATCCCTATATACATTCAATATTTACATTAGATTTATCTAATTTCAATAAAGCTCGTTAAACAGTTGTTAAAAGACAAAGATATTCAGATAACACTGACTTTTGACATATACCTTCTATAATTTTAACAATATGAAATTATAATTTTCTGAGATCATCAGTTATTATATAATGAAACTTAATTATGAGTAAAAAATTACTTTTCCTACTTCTGATGTTCAGAGATAGTTATTGCTTACTTTAGGTATTTGTTAATAGCAATATAAAAGTAACAAACAAAATAAACAAAAATAAAACTTTTGCCTTTCCTAAAATGTTAGAACATTGTAATAATGATGATTAGATTATGAATGACTGCTAATGCAAGATTCTCTTCAAATATTCATAACACAAGTTAAAAGTAAGTACACAATAACCAGGATGAATAAATTATTGACAACTGTGACAAAGATTCTATTAAAAAACAGCACAAAAGCTTTTTACATCTCTTACTGAAATGAATGAACAATCAGAGTAGATCAACTACTACTATAAATAATTAACTCATAATAGCATGATGTAGTTATCAGAGAAATATAAGGTGAAGTATTCCTTATTTCATTTTAAAATGTATAAATTATATTGAAAACTTTTGGTTGAAACTATGATAGGATATTTTTTAATTTAAACAGACACGTTTTGAATAAACTTTTAAAAGCCTATTGCACAACAAAATGTCTATATTTTGAAATTTACTGTTATTTTATTGCCCTTTAAAAACTTGCTTTCTCTATTATGCAAAATTAGTGATGTTTCATTCTTACCAGCCTACAAAGGAAAATGCTCTGTTTACATTGTTGTTATACACCATGTAGCCTAAAACTCAATATTCTGCAAAGTTTTATAAACAAAAAGTATGTCAAATGGCATCTACAGTTGCTGAATATGGTCATGCAGTCAGCTGGATGGGCTTTGATGAAAAAAATCTGTTAATAATAGGCTATAACAAAGTGTGTAATTTAAGTATTATTTATGACCTTTACCTTTCAAGAAAGCTATACTGATAAAGTTAAGAATAAAGGCAAAATATTTATAAGCAGAAACAGTCTGATTTATTATGGCATTTTGCAGTTTAAAAACTAATTATACTGTGATTATAAACCCACAATTTAGTATCACTTTCCAATTGATATCTTGCATGTTATGGCTTAACTGCCTTGACCTGTACTGGCACCCATGTTTCATTAGTAGCTGGTTTTCATAAACACATACTGACTTATTTAGTTTTGATTTTCAAACAGTACTAAACTGAAGCAGTATCTTTGCATATTTAAGGTAAAGAAATCACTTCAAAATCAGCCATTCCTATCTAACACTTCAATGACTTGTGGAAAAAACATATGACAAATATATTTTTTTCCTTAATTTGTCAGAAAATCACAGTTTTAATATAAATATAGTGAGTATTCCTGATCACAGAATTGAATGAACTCAACAAACAGAAATAATTTAGGTTAATAAATATAAAGGTACTTACGGAGCACACAAATTTAACAGGTCTTTGTCAGTTGTATTCTGAGTGAGTCCTCGAATGTACAAGTTAGTCTTGCTAAGCTGATCACCACTGCTAGAATTTGATCCTCCCCCACCAGAGCCAGAACCAGACACTGAGCTAGAGTGAGAACAAGATCCTCCAGTACTATTCCCTGAGACAGTAGGTGAAGTGGGAGGAACCCAGGCATTTGGATATGTCTGTGATATAAAATATAAATTCTTGTATAAAATGCATAACCTGTCATAATTCTATAGAATCATTGAAAAATGAATTTCAGAAATACTAGACAAAGTTCTATAAGTAACCTTTATAAGAACATAAACATAATGATTATTATATCATTTGCTTAATTGGTCATCAGGATATTCACCAACATAACTATGAAGAGAGCAGAGATTATTTAATAAGATTGGCCTTCAGGATTATTCTACTATATGACTAAAAAATCTAAGCATTGTTTATTACATCATAGTCATGCTCCTACAAAATGCTATGTTTGTAAAATGATTTGGTTTAATATAACATATTCTACACTATAGTTTATATATGAATATAATTTTTTTGTTCCCATGAGTATAACTCTTCCAAAGCAGATGCATTTTTTCTTTTTATGATTTATCAAAATTGTAGTTTACAATGTTAATTCATGCCTAGATTGTAGTTTTGTATATGACTGACTTAAAAAGATAGGCATTCAACAAAAGAATACAGCACAGAAGACAGAAACAGAAAAGAAGAAACACAAACAAGACATTAAGAATCAGAAAATAATACAAAAACTGTATAGACAGAGGCACAAATACAAATCTTGCACTTGTTTTAGTATTCTGTTATATTTACTTATTTATAATCATCATCTTACTATAATGGATGCAGCGTGTACAACTGTATCTGTATCTGATAGGAATAATAAATAGAACGTGGCGCCATCTACTGACTGGCACCACAAATAAAAAAACCATTAAAACTTTCACACGCTGAGTTTCAGACAACTAGAAAAATAACTACAGTATTTCCAACAACCATTTCTTTATCACAAAACACAATTTTAAATAAAAGTACTCTCAGCAGAACAAGAATACGACTTTCATTAGGACTGATATGAGGGGTTGATTATATTTTTATTGAGGTAATATAGTACTAAAAAATGGAGTTCTTAAAAAAATAACAACTTACTTTTAGCCGCCGCATAGCGGCTCATAGAATGGCTCCGAGTTTTTCTTTTCAAGTACAAACTTTTAACTAATGGATCCGTCATCTCTTGAGCGATTTGAGATCTAATTACAGTTTAGAACTCAGGAAGTCAAACCCTTTTGATTGATGTGTTTAACTACCCGAGATCTCGTAGATTAATGTACTATAATCCTGCCTACAAGGGTTTCAATTTGAGGGTAGGCTGGTAGAGATCCTGATGAGTAAAAAAAAATTGAATTGGGTATACGCGCGCCCCATGCTTGGTATTGCTGAGCACAAAAATATAGCTAGTAAAATAGGGGGGGGGGATCAAAGGTATCCTACCTAAAAGAAATTCAAGTTCCGCGGCTACTGAGGATTCCCTCTTGTTTCAATAAAGGGTACTATTTTTAATATATAGTTTTCTGCTAGTAGGCGTAACTACCATATTCAAAATAATTATTCAACAGCATGATGACTTTGTGTAATGAGCAGTTTTAAGATATCAATTTAACTTAAACGAATCATTTTGACAAGTTTCTTTTCACACACCCATACTAATATGTTTGTGATGTCTGAGAAATCATAATGTTGAAAAAAGGCATGTTATAAACAGGTTTGATAAGGTTTGTCAAAGTGATGAAACCAAGAAAATGAGATATGCTGCTAGTTTCTATAACAATGGTATTTTTTCTCCTAATATCTATTTTCCTTTCTAATATAAGTAACAACAAATTATCTCCACATCTTTTTGTAATTAGATCCATTAACGTTCCCATTATTTATGGTTTTCAAGATGAGCCAATCATTTAAAATCAAATTCATATCAACAGGTAACAAATAAAGCTTTGATTATAAACAGTGGCAATGGGGTTTATAAAAATAAATCTACTGTCACCAACTGAAAATTCTAAACGCATACGGCATGTGAACTATGGAATGGATGGACTATACCCCCTCCCCCCTCTCTCTCTACTGCTCACGGCTCAATAACAGCAGGAAGAGTTCACTGTAAGGAAACTGGTTGCTTCACGGAGAAACAGGTCTGACATTCCACAAATTCCGTAGTTGCTCGACGTTCCAGGCACCGGTTCACCTGGTCTAGCCGGAGGATTACATTCAGCTTATCGTTTAGAGTGTATCAAATATTTAGGACGAAAAAGAAGAGTTTGAAGTAGTTAGAAGACGAGACAAAAGAAGGTTAATATTCCAACCAAACAACCTTCGTTGCACGCTCTGAAGGCTGTTTGATAATTGACGATTTTTATTTGTTTGTTTATTTTTAACCACACTGTATTTACATATTTGCGAGTATAGGCAGCCGTTCCCCACCACACGTTTAAAGTACAGTAATAAACTATTATGAAACACTAGTATGTGTTGTTGTTTGTTTTTTCGTGAAGCACCAGACAGGTATATATATTTGATTTTGCTTGTAATGTGAAAGAGAGGGAAAGAAAGAAATGAAAAGGCCTGATAACTGATACACCAAAAACGAAGCGTTAAAGTCGGTGTGTGTACACACACACACACACACACAAAAGAATCAACCAACAGTTTAAGAGTTGCATTTCAAGCTTATACTATACACAAAATAAATTAAAATTGTTTGAACAAGAAATGTTTAGTTCGAATGATAAATCTTTTATTATGACACAATTAAACAAATTTATCTAATACATACAGATAAACTGAATGGATAAACAAAAAAGACAGGCGGAAGATTCAGATTTTATAGTCGAAAATTTGAACACAAGACTACTACCGAGCCAATATTACTTGAAGGCTTGGTCATTGGTTTTGATGTACAGCGAGTTGATATTTTCTTACTGTTCTCAGATGCCTATAAAGTGTTTGAACATCTGGATATTTCCCATTGATTCATGTTTTACAACTTACTTATTGTCGCCGTTACACGTAGCTCAAAATAATTAATTTTAGAAATCAGACTTAAATGTAAACTATGAGAAAAATTGTGAGATAATAACAGTAGTATACTAATGCCATTTACTGAACCAAAGTAAAAGATCTGGAAAATTTACGAACAGTACGACATACCAAATCAGAAGAGTTTAGATCTTACCCATATCCGCGTTTTTGTGCATTTCAAAAATTGGCTACTCCTTGAAAATATGTGAAATAAACCAAAAGTTATAATTAATAGATAATTTGATCAAAGTTATTAATGAAATATACATGGAACATAAATTGAAAATACACACACGAGATCAAACCAGACTAAAATTCGGATTGCTCTCTAAATGAATATTGACAATTTCAATATTACGGACCAGGCTAAATAAATAATAAAACTAAACTAACCTCAAGAGCGTTGGACACAATGCGTCTACATTATACCAATTACACAGCAATTTTGATTTCCTACAAACACGTCCAGTACAGAAAGCGGGTTACATCTTATGTACATGCGAAAATGAAACCAGTAACTTGTGACAGATCAAGTTTTAATTATTATACATACACACTGGTACTTGCTTGAATAAAAAGCCATCTCATAAGCATAAAACCTCCCGAGAGGATCGAATATTCGATAGTTTACAATATTCTTTTCATAGAGAAGTAATAATCGCAATAATGTATATCTACTTATTTCTATACCTACATGACTCAAGTTTAAGAATGTCTTACTTGGAGCTTCCACAAACCGTTTTTCCTTTAAAGAACAGGCTCTAAACCGTCGAAAATATAAGCAAACATAATATAAAAGTGAAAATATTGTTGAAGCTAACTTAAATTATAGCTTGTGTGAATGAGTGCTATTTAGATTTCTCAACATACTTTTATTAAATAAAACATCTAAACTTACACGTCTTGTCAAGCAAACACGTAGTTCATATTTCGTTTTAAAAAATACATTATTAGTGCCACTTCTTATGACTATAGTTAGCACTTTTACTCCAGGCGAGTTCCAGTTGTCCAAGTTAGTTAGTGTGTAAAACTCCGCGCGATGTAAGATTCAAAGAAAAAATCACGACAGTTTACAAACTTACTATAACATCAAGTTTTTTTTTAAAACACTAGTAAAGAACTGGAACATTTCATCGATAGTAGATATAAAATACATATTTAAAAGAGATAGCACATTAAATTGCACAGTCGTTTATAACTTCAACACCATAAATTAATTTGGAAAGTACAATGTTTTACAGAAGCATTTTAATATTTTTATACGACGAAGCAAGTTTATTCATATAGAACAAGCGTAGAATAAATTAATACGTGCCATAATAATAATATACCAACTGTCAAAATACCAACAGGTAAAGAAACAAACAGTACGAACTCGTATCACTAAAATCACGGAACCTCATGTGAAATACGACATAATATGTGTAGGGCTTATCGCTGCAGGAAACGTTGTTAATGTGGTTCCTGAACGGCTACGTGTGTGGCAAACGAACTGCTATTCCCGCTTCAGTCCCCGTCTTCTAAACCCTCCAACACCCACATCACTGAACCTTGTGAAAACTACATCAGCAAGCTTTACTACAAAACTTAACAGCAGCATAAATAAATGACCGAAATAAACGATGAAAAGAACAACGAACTAACAAACTTCAACAGACCATGCAGTTCCTCAAGTTTAGTTTGTTACTTACTGGCTTAGAGATGATTGTGAGAAAAGCCAGCGACTCCGGATACCAAGACTGTCTGGTAGGCGAGGTAAGCAAACATCAGATCAACTCAAAAATTCACGTGACGAAGATGACCTCATCTACTACAATCGACCTTGGTCTCGGTAACTGTGCTCATGAACCGGATGTTGACTTGCGAAAACACATAAAAACTGCTGTGAATTGACACAAACTACTTACTGCTCAACTGTTGGACAAGTTTGTAGTAAATGATAGACTCTACTGTTTCTATGAGTGGTATAACCAAGACTATACACGTTGCAGGTTTTAAAATCAACACCACAACCCATACAGAATTAATTTGCGAAAGAATAGCATACTTAGTGAAAAGCAAGGTTTTACATGAATACATATATACTATGCCTATT